TTTCAATGTCTTTTACTGCTTATAATTTTCGTTTTTTTCCCTGTCCTCCCAAAAAGGTTTGCTCCAATTAAATGTAGTCTTCTACCCCTTTCTTTCAATGCTAGTTACTGCTAATAAATTTCGTCTTATACCCCTTTTTTCAATGTCTTCTACTCCTAATAAATGTCGTCTTTTACCCTGTCTTTACTAAAAAGTTTTCTCCAAATAAATGTAGTCTTCTACCTTTTTCTTTCACCGCTATTTTTTGCTATTAATTTTCCTCTTTTTCCCTGTCCTTTCAAAAAAGTTTACTCCTAATAAATGTAGTCTTCTACCCCTTTCTTTCAATGCTATTTATTGCCATTAATTTTCGTCTTTTTCCTTGTTCTTTCAAAAACGTTTACTCCAAATAAATGTAGTCTTCTACCCCTTTCTTTCAATGCTATTTCTTGCTAATAAATGTCGTCTTTTACCCTGTCCTTCCAAAAAAATTTACTCCAAATAAATGTAGTCTTCTACCCCTTTCTTTCATTGCTATTTACTGCTAATAAATTTCGTTTCCTACCCCTTTCTTTCAATGCTTTTTACTGCAATTAAATGTCCTCTTTTCCCCTGTCCTTTCCAAAATATTCACTCCAAATTAATGTATTCTTCTACCCCTTTCTTTCAATGCTTTTTACTGCTAATAAATTTTGTTTTTTACCCTGTTCTTCCAAAAAAGTTTACTCCAAATAAATGTAGTCTTCTACCCCTTTTTTTCAATGCTATTTACTGCTAATAAATTTCGTCTTCTACCCCTTTCTTGCAATGCTATTTACTGCCAATAAATTTCATCTTTTTCCCTGTCCTTCCAGAAAGGTTTACTCCAAATAAATGTAGTCTTCTACCCCTTTCTTTCAATGCTAATTACTGCTAATAAATGTCGTCTTCTACCCCTTTCTTTCAATGCTTTTTACTGCAAATAAATGTCCTCTTTTCCCTTGTCCTTTCCAAAAAGTTTACTCCAAATAAATGTAGTCTTCTACCCCTTTCTTTCAATGCTAGTTACTGCTAATAAATTTCGTCTTCTACCCCTTTCTTGCAATGCTATTTACTGCCAATAAATTTCATGTTTTTCCCTGTCCTTCCAGAAAGGTTTACTCCAAATAAATGTAGTCTTCTACCCCTTTCTTTCAATGCTAATTACTGCTAATAAATGTCGTCTTCTACCCCTTTCTTTCAATGCTTTTTACTGCAAATAAATGTCCTCTTTTCCCTTGTCCTTTCCAAAAAGTTTACTCCAAATAAATGTAGTCTTCTACCCCTTTCTTTCAATGCTATTTATTGCTAATAAATTTCGTTTTCCACCCCTTTCTTTCACTGCTATTTATTGCTATTAATTTCCGTCTTTTTCCCTGTTCTTTCATAAAAGTTTACTCCTAATAAATGTAGTCTTCTACCCCTTTCTTTCAATGCTATTTATTGCTATTAATTTTTGTCTTTTTCCTTGTTCTTTCAAAAACGTTTACTCCAAATAAATGTAGTCTTCTACCCCTTTCTTTCAATGCTATTTATTGCTAATAAATGTCGTCTTTTACCCTGTCCTTCCAAAAAAATTTACTCCAAATAAATGTAGTCTTCTACCCCTTTCTTTCATTGCCATTTACTGCTAATAAATGTCCTCTTTTACCCTGTTCTTCCAAAAAAGTTTACTCCAAATAAATGTAGTCTTCTACCCTTTTCTTTCAATGCTATTTATTGCTATTAATTTTCGTCTTTATCCCTGTCCTTCCTAAAAAGTTTCCTCCAAATAAATGTAGTCTTCTACATTTTTCTTTCAATGCTATTTATTGCTATTAATTTTCGTCTTTTTCCCTGTTCTTCCAAAAAAGTTTACTCCAAATAAATGTCGTCTTCTACCCCTTTCTTTCAATGCTTTTTACTGCAAATAAATGTCCTCTTTTACCCTGTTCTTCCAAAAAAGTTTACTCCAAATAAATGTAGTCTTCTACCCTTTTCTTTCAATGCTATTTATTGCTATTAATTTTCGTCTTTATCCCTGTCCTTCCTAAAATTTTACTCCAAATAAATGTAGTCTTCTACCCTTTTCTTTCAATGCTATTTATTGCTATTAATTTTCGTCTATATCCCTGTCCTTCCTAAAAAGTTTTCTCCAACTAAATGTAGTCTTCTACATTTTTCTTTCAATGCTATTTATTGCTATTAATTTCCGTCTTTATCCCTGTCCTTCCTAAAAAGTTTTCTCCAAATAAATGTAGTCTTCTACCCCTTTCTTTCAATGCTATTTATTGCTATTAATTTTTGTCTTTTTCCTTGTTCTTTCAAAAACGTTTACTCCAAATAAATGTAGTCTTCTACCCCTTTCTTTCAATGCTATTTATTGCTAATAAATTTCGTTTTCCACCCCTTTCTTTCACTGCTATTTATTGCTATTAATTTCCGTCTTTTTCCCTGTTCTTTCATAAAAGTTTACTCCTAATAAATGTAGTCTTCTACCCCTTTCTTTCAATGCTATTTATTGCTATTAATTTTTGTCTTTTTCCTTGTTCTTTCAAAAACGTTTACTCCAAATAAATGTAGTCTTCTACCCCTTTCTTTCAATGCTATTTATTGCTAATAAATTTCGTTTTCCACCCCTTTCTTTC